AGAGTGAGGGAGACAAAGAGACACACAGACAGATAGACAGGCATATAATATTTACACCGTGGGTTAGCAGGTTAGAAGATACCGAAATTTGAAACCAATGTATCGTGAACGGCTGAATTTTAAAAGGTTGGAGATCAGCCGATCACGATACATTGGTTTCAAATTTCGGTATCTTCAGGGGATCCAGGCTAAAATGTGCCTTCAACACTTTTTAATACTTAGTGTTTCCTGGTCTCATTAAGCTCTGACCAATAACTTTTTAACAGTTTATATATATATATATATATATATATATATATATATATATATATATATATATATACAAATGTATGAGATAATGATATATATTTTATATATAAAAAATAATATTGGGAAATACTATGACATATGGCATAGCTTCAAGGTGAAATTCAATGGCAATGCATGTTTTCTCTTTAGCTAACAACCTTCAGAAGTAAAATAAAACTTTCAACGAAAAACGACGCTATTTTATATTGCTAACCCACGGTGTAAATATTATATGCCTGTCTATCTGTCTGTGTCTCTCTTTGTCTCCCTCACTCTCTCTTTTCCCCTCTCTCTCACTCTCATATATATATATATATGATCTTTTCTAGTAATCTTGAATTTTTCCGTTTAGTAGACGTAAGGTTGTGCCAAAAAGAGAACCGCGGAAAGAAATTATCAACAATTAAAAAAAAAAAAACTTAACAATCGCTAAAGAAGTTGCCGAAAGCGCTTGGGACTCTACCGGCAGTTTTTACACTCCTTCACACCCACTAAAAGAAAAAAAAAGATCCAAGAAAAACTAAATAAAATATCAAAAATATAAAGATGTCAAAGATATATATATATATATATATATATATACTCACACATATATACATATACAGACATCACACTTACACACACACACACACACACACACGCGCGCGCGCATATACACACAGAAAACTAAAAGATAACAAACTCTAAACGTAGATATCCCCTTCCCAGAAACCAATAAAGCTGTCAGAATGACTAAGGAGGGAATTCGGAGATTCATGAATCTCCCATTCTCTATTTAAAAAGCCTTGAAAGAGACCATTTGACCAATACAAGTACTGATCAAAATTCACGATAAAAAAAAGACAAATGAAAACTACAGACAAAGTTCACTTACTTCAGAAGGATTCATTCACTCCTGTAGTTCACTGCTACGAACAAACAAGGATTTTTTTTCTCCTGATGATGGTCATGTTGGCCGTAACTAGTTGAGGAACCTAATTTGCATCGTCCTGCAAAACTCAGAACATGATGACAAAAATCCTATCTGTTGTAAATTAGGCAGAGCGAACTGGAAAAGTATTTAAAATCTAATGTTCTAAATAGCTAGTTTAAGGACAAAACATCATGGACTTAAAAAAATCACTGAAATCCTCAACTCTGTGCATTCCAAAAAACTTCAGCACCATAAAAACGCAACAGACTTTGGTCCAATGATGAATGTAAAAAAGCCATCAAACTTAGAAGATCAGCTGTGAGAGAATTCAACAACCTACAACATCTAATTTGCTGAAATTCCGAGCAAATGCACAGAAAATAATTAAGGAAACTAAAAAAGAATGCTGGCAAAACTCTGTCAACAAACTCAATTCTGCTACAAAAACACAATCCGTCTGGAATATGATAAAAGAAAATAGCAGCACACAGACACCGTGAAATCGTGAAGCACCACTTTGTAAATAATTCTAAAATAACCAGTTAGATGCATATCGATGGCCAAATGGCCAAAACCATTTCTAAAAATTAATCTGCAAGAATGGCAGCGAACAATTTTCAAAGCGCAAACAAAATCGGAAGAACAACAACTAAACTTTAAATCATATAAGGCAGAGATCTATAACCTACCATTCACTCTGGAGGAATTAAATTAATCTTTAAAGAAAGACCACAATACAGCTGTGGGCGCAGATGATATCCACTACAAATTTATAAAACAGTTACAAATAGTTACAACTGTTATTAAAAATGTATAATAACATATGGACAAATATCAATTTCCCAGAAATATGAAAACAGTCATTCATCATCCCCATTCTAAAACATGGAAACATGATACAGACCATGAAAACTACAGACCCATAGAATTAACCTGTTGGCTATGTAAATCTATGGAGTGAATGGTCAAGAAAAGGTTAACATGGTACATGGAAACCAAAGGCTTAATCAGCGACTTCCAATGTACTTTTAGGGGAAAAAAGCACAATAGTACACGTAGAAAACTTTGTAGGGGAAGCCTTCATTAAGAAGGAACATCTCGCTTGCAAAAGGCGTATAATACAACATGGAAATTTAATATCTTGAAAGACCTGCGTGAACTGAGCCTAAAAAGAAGCCTGACTAAATTCATAGAGAATTTCCTGGAAGACCGAACATTTCATGTCCGTATAGCAACTGCGCTATCAGAACTGCAAAACCAAGAAGAAGGGGTTCCAGAAAGGAACTTTCTTTCGGTGGCTATATTCTGCGTAAAAATTAACTCCATTGTTAAATCCCTAAGTCTAGGAGTGAGATGCTCCCTATATGTTAACAACATTCTATTAATGTACAAATCGGCATATGGATATCATAGAAAAACAACTCCAACAATTCCACAATAAAATACACAAATGGGCCACGGAAAATGGTTTTTACCTACTCAAAAATGAAAATCAAATGCCTATATTTCAGCAAAGTACGGAAATTGCGCATCGACTCCTGTTTAAAATTAAATGGAGCAGAAATCATAATAGTGGAACAACACATGATCCTAGGCATCATTTCCGATAAAAAAAAAATAACATTCATTACTCACCTAACATATTTAAAACTAAAATGTAGTCAATTCCTCCAATTTTTGCGTGTGGTTGCCGACACTGGATAGGGGAGTAGATTGACAAATATCAATTAAAATATACAAATCACTACTTCGCTCAAAACTGCATTACGCTAGTTTTATATATGAGGTGGCCAGAAAATCGTACCTAAAAATACTCTGCAAAACCTATCATCAAGTCCTCTGAGTAGTACTTGGGGCTTTTAGGACACCTCTATGGGAGAGCTTATACACTAAAGCTAATGACACACCTCCATATTAAAGGCGTACTAAACTGGCACTACAGTACTATGTCAAAACAAAATTATGCCCAACTAACTCAGCTTACCTTTGAACCGAATTACTATGATCTATTCTAACAAAAAGACAGTATAACGCAACCCTATTGACTATTGAGTTAGGAACCTGACTTTCAAACATACAAGAAATGACTGCAGTCACTATTCCACTATGGACCATCAAGCAACCCGAAGTCTTCCTCGAATTAAAACAAAATCCCTAAACAAAATGGCATCCGCTCACATTCCAGGACAAGTGTCAAGGCATACTGGAAAACTATCCTAAACATACACCCATCTATACAGACGGGTCAAAATGTGAGAACAAGCTAGGATGTGCAGCAGCGAGCCAAAATATTACCAAAAATGTGCCTCCCAAAGGGAAGCTATATTTTTTACGGCGGAGGCTTACGCAGTAGAGCTTGCTCTCAACATCAAACAGAGCAAACAAAACATTTCTTAATATTTTCGGAATCACTATTCGTCCTAATGGCTTTGAAGGACAAAAATATCCAACAACACAATCATTATCAAACTATTCTGCAAAATGAACACTATTTGCCAACATGAAGGCATCAAACTCTGTTGGATTTCTAGCCCTATCGGAGTGGAAGTTAAGGATAAAGCGTATCTAACAGGCAAATCAGCTTTAGATATGGCTATAGATTCAACGAGCAAAATCCCATACACTGACTTTAGGGAGGACATTGACAAATACATTAAAAAGGAATGGCAATGGTGCTGGGACGATAACCCCGACAATCAGCTCTTCCGAATTCAGTCCAAACTAGAAGAATGCAAGTCGGCTTTCAGATAATCCCGAAAGGAAGTAGTAGTACTAGCCCACTTACGTAGTGGCCACACGGGAATGACCATCTTGTACTTGCTAAACAACGAAGATCTGCCAGTATGCCAAGCATATGAAACAGCATACAGTATTAAACATATATTAACCGAGTCTTCTGACCTTCCTCTCTCGAGACGAAAATGTTATAATGTTATAATAAATAACGACTGAGCTCTTTGAGAAAGTAAAAATAGATGACATATTATCATTTTTTTAAAACAGTCGGCATCTACACAAAATATAAATCAAATGAGACTATCAATAAAATCAATTTCTGTGCAAACTTTCTTCTTGAAAAGAATACATAAATAAAACCAGACTCTGGACAATAACCTATTTACAAAAATACGTCTATAAAATCGGATCTACAAACTGTTTTTTTACAAAGAATAAATATTCTATTCATACGAATCTATTGCAAAAATCTTGTTCGCATTAAATATCCCATTGAAGTTGATATGCCGTAAAACAAACCAAACCAAACCAAACCAAACCAAATCAAACCAAACCGGTATCTAGACCGGAGTGAGGATATTAGTTCAACTGTAAATAATGATAACTCCTAATCCCAGAAAGAAACTATAAGGATTTATTGAGTATTTGTTTAGCTGGGTGTTTATCGCTTTTGCCAGGCCTTCAAATATACAGCACTGTGACGTCGAGTGCATTTTGTTCCCGTATTTATGTTTTAGCTTGCTCGTGTTTCACTGACGTCGGAAGAAAACTGCGGACATTCAATCGCATTTTTAAGGAGACGAAAATCGTGTGAAGCTGCAAACATGTTAATATCCTGCATAATTTTAAGCATTACATTTTTCTTTTTATTACTGAAATAAAACAGCATCTTGACTTCGTTTGAAATATTGTCGACGATCATGAAAATACAGTTAGTCTAAGTTTCTCTTTTTTACTTTAGCTTTTTCTTTTGATATTCTATTTTTTTATTTTTTCTCCTTTTTGTTACTTTTTTCTATTTTTTGTTACTTTTTTTGTATTTGCTTCTAATATTTTCACTTAGATTGAGTTTATTTTCTTTGTTTATTTTCCCTCTCTCTGCGTATTATTGCTTTATTGTTTATTTCTTTCCATCATTTTTCTTAAAGATTTTTCTATTACATCGTTCATCTTTCTTTATGTCGTTTATTTTTTTATTTTTTTTTATTTTCTCCTTTTTCCTTATCTTCTTCGGACAAACTATCTTTCAGTTCATTCTTTAGATAATTGTTCCTTCCTTTTCCTTTCTTTCAGTTCGTTTCTGTCTTTTTTCTTCTTTTCTTCTATTTTTTCTTTCTCTGCATTATTTTTCGTTCTTTTTTTTTGTCTCTTTTTTCATGTTTTATTTTATTTTTTTACATTAATTCTGTCTCTCACGTTTTCATTCTCGCTTTAACTTCCTTCCTTATTTTCTTCCTTCCTTCATTCCTTCCCTCCTTACTTATTTCCCTCCTTCCTCCCTTCCTTATTTCCTTTCTTCCTTCCTTCCTTTCTTATTTTCATTTCTTCCTAACTTCCTTCCTTCCTTCTTTTCTTCCTTATTTCCTTCCTTGCTACCTTCCTTCCTTTCTGCCTTCCTTCCTTCCTTATTTCCTTCCTTATTTCCTTCCTTCCTACCTTCCTTCCTTTCTGCCTTCTTTCCTTCCTTATTTCCTTCCTTATTTCCTTCCTTCCTACCTTCCTTCCTTTCTGCCTTCCTTCCTTCCTTATTTCCTTCCTTATTTCCTTCCTTCCTCCCTTCCTTCCTTTCTGCCTTCCTTATTTCCTTTCTTCCTTCCTTCCTTATTTCTTCACTTTTTTCCTTCCTTTCTTTCTTTCTTTATTGTAGTTGCCTTTTTTCTCATTTTCATATTTTTCTCTTCCTTTTTAAATTCGTTACTTCATTCTTTACTTTTCTCCTTTTCTCTTTTCCTCCTTTTCTCCTCAATCCTTTTTCATGCATTTTTCTTTGTCTTTCTTTCTTTATTTATTTCAATATTTCAATATTTCCTTCCTATCAAACTTCTTTCAACACATTCTCTACATTTTTAACTGTTTCCTTTTTTTTACAGTCTGTTTCACTTTGTTTTCTTTCTTTTCTTACATTTTATCTGTACGATTTTTTCTTTCATTATTTTTTCTGTTCCCCTTTTTTTTTATTATTTTCATTTTTCTTTGTTTCTAAATTTTATACTTCATGTTTTTTTCTTTGTTTTTCTCTTTCTTTCCTTCTTTCTTTCTTTCTTTCTTATTTTATTTTTGTTTTCCTTTTCCATCATTGTTTCTGAGGCCTTTTCTTTCTTTCTTAATACTTTCTTTCTTTTTTCTTTTTTTCTGTTCATATATTTTAGTTCTTTCTTTCTTTTGTTTGCCTTGTAGTCTTCTTCTTCTTTTTTTTTCTCATTTCCTGCAATGTTTTTTAATACTTCCCTTCCTTTTTTTTTCTTTAATTTACATTGATATCCGCAGGTGGAGAAACTTAGTTGCCGATCTGTTGCATATTAAGAAAACAGTAGGAAGTGTTACAGAAGAAACATGGTGGAAGAAAAGAATTAATCCAAAATTTTTGAAGTTCAGAAAAGATATTCGCAAGTTAGAGCAATGGAAAAAAACATTATGAAAAAAAGAGGGTAATAAGAAAAAAACTTGAAAGGGCAGGTAATTCTTTTTTATTATTATTCCCAATCAGAAGTGGGTCCAATGACCATGTGTACTACCATTTCTTCACCTTTCTAGATCGAAAAAAAAAATTCAGAATTTTGCAAATCCCAAACAGTTATGTTTTCCTAATTTCAAATCAAAGTCACAATTTTATCAGGCCATTTTTTGATTTTGTCTCTCACAGTTCCAAGATTATTCAAAATACCAAGAAGATTTACTTTCTTAACCTCCACCCCAAAAGCGTGTTATATTATTATCAACGTCCTCCTCCTCATTATTATTATTATTATTATTATTATTATTATTATTATTATTATTATTATTTCATAAATTTTCATGTTCCTATTAGGTGTCATGTGATTATTCTGAAAGACTTAGTGGCAGAATACCCAACATTTTTCCATGCGCCCCTGTTGGCCCTAGCAATGCGGTCATCTGGACAATTCTTCTAGACAATTTTAATTCATCCAATTGCAACAACTACGGCGGACCCAAAGCCAGCCGTCATATTCTACCGTTTGCTCTACTCCCTCGCAAAGTCCTTATAAATACAATACTGCCTTTTCTTTCTTTCTTTCTTTCTTTCTTTCTTTCTTTCTTTCTTTCTTTCTTACCTCGTGTCCTGATGACGCACCCACAATGTGACAAATGTCCAATTGTTCCATTTTACAATTCTCAAATCCCGTCCTCTCATCTAAATAATTTAGTCTTAGTATCGAAGTCCTACACTATCTTATTCTTTTCTTTTAATTTAAAGAACTAGCACTGTTTTATCATTATAGAATTTTTAATAAGTTTAAACCCAAGTCGTTTGCGCAGTTTCATAATTATTATTAATAATAATAACATTTGATTTGAAAGCCTCTCCGACTCTTAGACATTTTAGCCGGATGATGAGAAGTATATCTCAACTCGAGGTCAGAGACACAGTACTTTCCTCAGTAGATGAGCCCTTTCCAAGCAGCGCTGCTACGTGCATTATCCAAATGATCTCAATCATCTCCAAGCCGTTATGCAAAGCAGAAAGATCCATGGAAATAGTCTCGAGGGCAACAACCACAATAGGCGCGACTTGAGCAGTTGCCTGGTGCATTTCCCTTTGCTAGGTATTGTCACATGTTTTGCCTTCACGATGTTCTTATCCGAAGATCCCGTAACACCTGTCAGAATTCATTCATGGCTGCTCATGTGCATCGGGATCCAGTGCGATTGTTCTCCAAGTGTTTGTCAATCAAAATGAGCCGTATGCCACATGAGCTTTACTTGCTCATTATCGGCTACTGACGGTGGTGAATACTGGTAACAATTCTCTGAGGCCATACTTACTGTATAGGACCTATGTATTTTGCGTTCTACTGTGTCGTGGCGTCGTCTGTACTCTTTTTGTGCAGCTAATGACAATATGTCATACACTTGCAGTAGATTTCCCCTACAGCCTGTACAAGACCGTGTAAAATTATTATTATTACTAAAGAAACCGTGCCATCAAAACTGACGGCTTATTTTTTTGTATCTTAACCTCGTAATATATGGTAGAAAAATGAGTCATTACATATGTTTTGTTTGTTGGATACAGTATTTTATCATATACGTTTTAACTACTCCTCACCTGTGAATGTTCTTACCTGTCAGCCTCCCGCCGTGACTGTATCTGGTCACGAGATAGGCGAAAATCGCTGCTTTCGTTTTCACACTCGTTCGAATTTTCTTTTTTCTACAATGGAATTTTCCATTTTATGATATTCACTAGACAAAATTTTATCAAATGAAGAAAACAATGTAAAACATAGGGAATTATTTAATTTTAATTTTACCTTTATAAAGCAAGTTTGCATTGAATGTTGGATAAGAATGCAAAACTAAAATGTATTTCAATAATATTAGATATCATTTGTAATAAACAACAACGTGACATCAAAACGAGGCTTGAAGAACATTTTATTATAAATGATTAATTTCGACAAGCATCTTAAGGTACACATTCTAAAAAATATTCAGAATCTACAGACCTTTCAATCTTTAAAACACATGAAGATAGTTACGTATGCAACTTACCTATACTCCCGTCCCGGTGTAATGAACAGGACGACTGGAGAGTTCCATAAGATTTATACTGAACTGTTTGATTAATTCCTCTTAGTAACTAATCAACTAACGGACATTCCAGGATAAGCAAGGTCACCATCATATTCAGTTGGATAACTTCACGCTGGTAGCGTTTCATTCGTTTTGACCCGTTGACTACCATTACAGCCGTTGTTTTCATTTTTCATTACAAGACAAGCAACGTTTGTATATTTTTTATAGATTTACATTTTTTATACTTGAATTTTTTAAAAACATGTAACTTCATGAAGGCAGGTATACTATCGAAATAATGTTTAACATTGTCAAACACACTATTTTTTTCTTTTCTTTTTCTTTTCTTAATTCGCGCTCTTATTTTAAGCTTTATTATTATTATTATTTTAATGTTATTATCATTGTGCTCAATTATGGCTCAAGATGCAAATAGTGTCTTTTCATACAGACAGGCTTATCTTGTCTATATTCTTTCCATCTTAGCAATGCTGTCATCTGAATTCTAATTCGATTATCTAAGGGTGGCCACAGTCTTAATAACAATATACGAGGATAACACTCCGCTGAGAGCGGACTCGGAAGGAAGACGATAACTCTTCGAGAAGATGGCATAGGAAAGTGAATCGAAATAACTATCAGAAAATGGAAAAAAAACGCATGATCGTCAGCAACAGAGGCAGCGAAAGGTTTGAATTTCGAATTGGAAGCATCAGATTTCAAGCAGATACATACGTTTAACTAAGTGGGTTACAAACGACAGAACACGTGACATTAGGTCCGAAGGTGCATCAGAATAGCAAATGATGCCTTCCAGAAAATAAGACATCAGAATTCAAGCAGATGCATTTATTTAACTAAGCGGATTGCAGACGACAAAACGCATGGAATCTAGGTCCGAAGGTGCATCGGAATAGCAAATGATGCCTTCCAGAACATAAGACATCAGAATTCAAGCAGATTCTTTCATTTAAATAAGTGGGTAGAAGATGACAGAATGTATGACATCTAGATCCGATGGTGTAATAGTTTAGTGAATGGTGCCTTCCAGAAAATAAGAAAAGTATTAAAACAGAGGAAAAGTTTCATTAGAAACGAATAAAAGCTTACTGAACTATCTTCCTGTATTGCAATGACTGCGCGGAAATTTCATTATCGGTGCGCAAAATCGCCTCGAAACAACAGAGATGTAGCTGTACAGTTGGATCCTGAGATAACCATGAACAGAACATGTGAGCAATGTGGAAGTTTTAAAGAAAATGGAAACTAGAATAACACTCTTAATTAAAATCAGAAAAAGACAGTTAAAATTTCTGGAAATCATGAGGAAGGACGGTTTGAAAAATTTTATACTCACAGGACGTATTGAGAAAAGCAGGTGTTATAAGAAACATGAGTTTGTGAGAATGGAAGGCTGATGTGGGACAAACGTTGCTTAAAGCTGCAACGGAGAGGAGGTTGTGGAAAGCCATGATCACCCGTGACCTGAAGAGACATCGTACATAAATGCTGATGTAGTCTGAATTGTTTATGTTTTTCTTTTATTTCTTCAAGATGGTTTAAAATAATCCGATACTGGATACAGAATCTCGTAACAACAACTATGCTCAAATCTGCAGCACCTTCCTCAGTATTCTTTAGTATGTACCCAGCGAAGTCGGTAAGTTATTATACTCAGGATTCTCAACTTCATATTCTTCAGTTTCTTCATTTACCAGAAAATTCATTATATATATTTTTTACAATATTTATATTCGGACTATTGTCCTCATCTTTCTTGTTATTATCAAACCGTTTCGGTCGCTGTTCTCTTCGGTCTTATTCAGGTGTAGGAAATTCTAAACCCTTTATTTAATCTATGAGTGTAGACTGCTCTCGTTTCACTGCTCGTGTCTAGGGATATCATTTAGTTCTTGTTTTTATTTAATACTTATTGATCTACTTTTTTGTATTGAGCCCTCTTTTAAATTAATGCTATGAACGTTTGAATTTATATTCGCTTCGTTCTCTTTGCCTTTTATATATATATATATATATATATATATATATATATATATATATATATATATCGTTTATACATGTTTCATTAAAAACGACAGACAAGGTACTACGGTTAAGCTTTTTATTTAATTTTTCTTCTGTCCGAACAAGAGCTTTCTTTTCTGGACAAAGAGTGAGTAAAAACTGTCCAAACGTTTTATAGTTCCGAGTGCTTTCGGCTATACCTTTAGCCATTATCAAGGATTATTCAATTTTTCAGCTTAATTGAGTGTGTGCATTATGTGTAGGTTTTAGTGTGTTGTAGTTTTTTTTTTAATTTCCGAATACGGTTAGCACATTATGGCCGTGTTCGTAGTTGGTTTTTTTCTTTTTTATGATTAAAGCTTCCATTAGTTTTAATCTTTTTTTACAAGTGGATGAAGTTATTATATTTGTGTTTTCTACTAGTATTTTTCTTTGTCCAGAAAGAAAACTCTTGTTCGAACACAAGAAAAATTAAATAAAAAGCTTAACCGTAGTACCTTGTCTGTCGTTTTTAACGTATATATATATATATATATATATATATATATATAATTCCTTTCTTTTCATCATTTCTCCAGTCATTTTTCCCTTTCTCTTGATTCTTCTTTTATGTACCATGTCCCTTCAGAACGTAGGTGATCATGACCCTCCACATCTTGTCCCTTGTTTTGTCGTTTTGTTATTTCTCCCAAAATCCTATTCTGACATATATTTGCTCTAACCCATTAAGTATGCCACGCGTTGCTTTCCCCTGTCCCTCTATCACTTACCCCGTCCTGTGAGTATCAGATTTTCCAAGCCCTCCTTCCTCAATGCGTATCCCAGAAATTTCAACTGCCTCTACTTGATGCTATGTATAAGTTTCCTCTTTGTTTCCATTCTCTTCAAATCCTCGTCGGAGCATAATTTGCTCCTACCACATTTCTCAAAAGCAGGTACAGAAATTTAAATATCTGGGATGTCTTCTAACAGAGGACGAGAAATGCGATACTGAGATCCTAAGACGTATTGCGAGAGCCAAAGATGTACTCCAGAGTATTAAGAGACAGGAAAATTTCACACTAATTACATTGTTCGGACTATTGTCCTCATCTTTGTCACCATATTTATTACAACTTTTCTGGTGAAAACATGCAATGATAACAGCAAAAATTGCAATATGAGCACTGGTAAAAAATGATGCTGATGACATTAGGGTTATAATACCTAGGAATTCATAAACAAATGTTCCCAAGGACACATGGCACAGTGGATAAAGGCGTTAGTTAAATCTAGTGACAGTATGAGTTCAATACCCGGTTAAGGCAGTGGATAACCTGGAGAGGGGAATTAACAGGAGATAACTGACAAGTGACATGGAACGTGGAACTAGAAATAAAGGGTTCAGTTCGACATTCCAACCACCTGAAGACGAACGGAGCGTACAACGACCGTCTGTCTATTGTAATAAATATGGTGACAATAGTCCGAATAATATAGTGTCGGAAATATAGACAGTAAACAAGTACTGAACTTATTACGTGATATCTGTCCTTCTTTATGGCAGCGAATGCTGGACAATATCCTTAAATATCAAAAGACTCGATGCTATGGATACCGTGTTCTGAACATGTGAGCAACGATGGAAACAAAGAGGAAACATATTCAAAAGCTAAGCCGAGTATTACGAGATAGGAAAATTTCGTTGGAAACAAAGAAAAGATTATTGAACTGTTACGTGATATCTGTTTTCCTCTGTGGCAGCGAATGCTGGACAATCTCCTCAAAGACGAAAAGACTCTCTTTGAGTACACTTCTACTAAAAATGCTTTCCTGATTATCATTCTTATTAATGCCCTTTTCTAAGTTGTTCTTTTAGTTAGAGTTTCTCGTAGTAAATAATTCAATATCCTGTAGATGGATATTCAGTTTTCTAATAATTTAGCACAAACGCATAAAATAGAAAAAAAGAAGAAAGAAAACTCAAAAGCTAAGCCAACTATTACTCGAACACTCAATTCACCAAACACCACTCAAAACCGAATCCCTTCTCGTCTTTCTTGCCTCTACGATTGTGTGTGTGTTTTTTTTTTGTTTTTTTTTGTTTGTTTTTTTTTTAAGCGATAACAACTTTTCTATTTGTATTCATTTCCTCGGAGGAAAATGGCGGTAATATTTCTTCTACGGGTAAGAATAATACACGTAAGTATATTGATGGCTGTGTGACTCACTTGAAATGGAGAATTCATGAAAGAAAGTGGAAATTGAGTCGTTAAAAGATGACTTCTCAAATTTGCCATTTTTTCTCAGCCAAGGAGAGGGAAAGGAATAAAACACATTTGCAAAAAAATAGAAAAAAAAAGAAAAGGTAAAAAAAAAAAAGATATGGAAAAAATAAAACGAAGGTCAAAAGTTTAGAATAAAGTGGTGCGTATCTCTTTCCTAAAAAATATGAGCTCGTCTCTTTCCTCACGCACATACACACGTACATATATATATATATATATATATATATATATATATATATATATATATATATATATATTAGTGGATATTTGGGTAGCAGCATTTCTTTCAAACATTTTTCATTAAATACGGTAGACAAGGAAGATTTAATTAATTTTTTATTTAGTTTTTTCAGCATCCTTATATTTTTCCATTTTTGTAGGAATAATGGAGTACAGAAATTTTAGCCATTGCCAAGTGGTTTTGTTTTTGATATCGTTAGTTTTTCCTTATGTTTTTCACTGTTGAAGATGTATTTTATTTTTCTGTTGGTTTGAATTGAAGCATTAATTCCCTGTCTTCGCCTGTTGGACATCTATCTATCTATCTATCTATCTATCTATCTATCTATCTATCTATCTATTTGATACTTAGGTGATTGGTGTTGCCTTTAGTATCCTGACTTCAATGTTTCGTAGATGGACCCTCCAACAATTACTGCGTCCACTCGTCTGGGGTATCAGAAATTGAGTATTTATCTTTCTCGTTTTTTCTTTTATATATGCAGTTTTCATTAGTGCAAGGTTGATATATATATTATCTTACTTATTATAAAACGCAGGTTGTGTGTGTGTGTGTGTGTGTGTGTGTGTGTGTGTGTGTGTGTGTGTGTGTGTGTGTCTGTAACGTTTATATGTTGGATCGAATTTCCTACATTTTTTAGCCGATTTCAACAAAACTTCACAGGACTACATAAAATTACCTTGTGGTGGTTCTAACGGGACAGAAAATGGGAAAAACACAGTTGTTTTTTAATAAAATCATTTTGAAAACACGATTAAGACACATCGTGAGAATGAAAGGGGGACAACTCACCCACGAAAATGTAAACAAAAGAGCATAGCATGATGACAAAAAAGCCGAACTTGACGAAAACGAAATTTTATCGTCTAATGTTCATATTATTATTAAAGAGGAAAGATCAAAGTATTTTGGGGATATTTTTTTACATTTTTTAATCGTTCCTAGTACGTCTGAAATTTTCGTTAAAAATATTGTTTTGTTTTTTTTGCTCAAAAAAAAGGACAGAATCATTTTAAATTTTCAATCATTTTTTTCGATTTGATAAAAAAGATTAAAATCTTACTTTGATATTCTTTTAAAAATCATTTTTCCAAAACTGATTTTAATAAAAACAGAAATTATACTGTTTATTTAAAATATTTTGAACCAAGCTTAACTTAGCTTCTGCGCTGAAAAAATGTAATTTGAAAATAAAACAAAGCAGGTCATAACCTTTCGCGTCGCTTGACGATTGACGAAAGGCACATTCATGACGTTTAGATAACTTACGGGATGAGAATTCTTTCTACGGATGGAAGGAAGTGAAATTATTTAAGTGAACAAATTATTTACCTTGTTACTTTTAAGGAAAACTTTCAGCGCTCTAATTTTTTATTTTTTATTTTTTTAAATTTTTTTTTGTACTTAGCTTTCATTTTTACGTTTACGATGCTTTATGGAAAATATAAAGAAATTAAAAAATAAGACTGTTAATAGTGAGATTAAATTTCATAAGAAAAAGGTATCTAATTAATTTAGGTACCTTTCTTATGAAAATTTTATCAGAAAATGTACATAAAATACTATAATTTTATGTACATTTATTACATTTTACTGTGTTATTTGTATTTCCATTCATTTTATTATTAATTTTGATATTTCATTTATGGAAAAATGTCATAACTGAGATTAATATAAAAATAAGATCATATAAATTAAAGTTTAGCAATAGTTAAATTTCATAAGATGATACTGTTACTTGTAGGTACCCTTCTCAGTTGAAATTGAAAACT